AGGTTACAATCGCACAATAAAAACAAGAAAGCTTAAATGTTAATTTTTATTTCTATACTTTTAATTTTAAATATTTTTAATTTTTAAAAAAATTTTTGTTTATAAATTATGAAAAAACATATATTTTTTTTGCTAATTTATTTATTAAATATGTTTCAATATGTATATTTTTAAAATTTAAATTTAAGAATTAAAAATATGTATTTTTAATAGATTAATAGATGAAATGAATAAAAAATTGTATTTGTCTTTGTTCAAAGAGAAAAAAAAAAGAGTAAAAATTAGTTAAAATATTAAAAACATTCAAAAATTAAAAGTTCAAAAACTAAAATTATCATTTAACTAACAAGAAAATAAAAGAAAAAAAAACAATTTATCTAACAATAACTTGCCTGCTACATTTTCTTTGCAGCTTATAATGGTATGGGAAATCTCAAACTTATTTTGTATGGAATTGTTTCACTTAACAACTTATAGATAGTTGCCATAATGATGAACACAATTAAGGAGCATAGGTTCATAATCGCTAGCATCAGATAGTAATAGGGAAGATGACTCGTTCTAATGCTAGTGCCAATCCAGTTGGTTGGACATGCTAAATTAAGTACTGCATTAAGCAAACAGCCTAACCCCTCCGCACATCCATCTACAGCAAGTACATGAAACTTCATGGATGGTGGTAGGTAGTCATAGAGGAAATCGTCAATCCCTTCATTAACAAGTCCTTTTGTCAATCCTAGAAGGAAAAATTGCGGCACAAACCAAAAGATGCTGAAGGAATCACCGCTATCCAATCTGTGAGCCTCGACATGACAAGCCACCAGGCAGCAAAGAGAGGAGAAAATCATCCCAATACTAATTCTTACAAGCCTAGCACACTTCTGTTGGTTTTTATCTCTGCAAAACTTTTTGATTAGAAGATCACAACACTGTGAGGTTGCGAAGGCTATGCATTTTTCGCCCACGTAGAAAGAGCCTTCCGGAAGCCTGAAGCTTTGTTTAGAATTGTTGTCTACATAATCAACTTGTGTAATGAACAAAGTATCACCAAAAAACAGGTAAATATAAATGTTAACCATAAAGGGAATAATCTTAGAAGAACATTTCCTGCTTGCTTTAACTCTGAAATTAAGGTATTTCCAATGTCTTCTTCATTCTTGTAAAATTTGGTGCCAAACCAGAAGAACAGATTGTAACCCGCTACCATCACCATGGTTGAAATCTTGAACGTTTGATCCCAAGAATGCATGGACACATATGCTGCACCTACGATGACAGGAGATCTAGCAATGAATAACTTAACATTTGTCCGATTCTGAATTTCTTTCACATCTATGTTTTGTGATTCTTCTTCTGATGCAAGCTGATCTCGGAACAGATAACGCACACAATCGTCTCCTGCTTGGCCCATTGTTATTGGTCCTAGCGCAAAGTAAAAAAAGAGAATACTGTTGGATGGACTTAGACTAACCCACAGTAGCAGAATACCCTGCAACAAGAATGTGTTACATGATTCAGGGACAAATGGTAATTGCTATTGATTCTTCCAATTGCACAAAATAATCTCACGAAAAAGGAAAAGATATATACCACCAATAAAAATGAACTTACAGCTATGAAAGTTGAGTAAGTGTAGAGAATCATTTTTTAGAGGATAAATGGGAATGGAGCTTCGACACAAAAAATGGCTACTCTACAAATGTAGCCTATAAGCTTCTAACATCACCACACAATGGATTTCAATTGGAAATTTACAAGAAAGTTTGGAATACAATGGTCCCGAGCAAGGTTAGTGCATTAGTTTGGCAATTGATTCAAAATAAATTGCCAACAAAAATCGAGTTATTTAAGAGGGGGGTATTGAGGAGCTATAATGAGATTACATGCGACTTATGTGGAGAAGGGGAAGAAACTGCTACTCACTTGTTCTTACACTGCAAATATGCACATAAAATTTGGAGTATCTGTTTGAAGTGGTGGGGAGTTCAATCATGCTGGTCGGGGAGTTGCTGGGATGCATTTCATCAGCATATGGGTTTCTTTCTAGATAAACAGACAAAAGAAGGGTGGGAGGTTATATGGTTTGCCTGTGTTTGGTCCATATGGTTGTCTAGAAACAATCGGATATTCAAGGAGAAAGAACCTGAGGCTGCAAGGGTGCTTGAAGTTATCCAGATTAGATCTTGGGAATGGATAAAAGCTAAAAAAAAGGGTTGGGCAATTCTACTGACAGATTGGATGAGAGACCCAAAGGTATGTTTGAGATAAGGGTGGTAAAAAAGAAAAGGACGTGAATGCATAAGAATAGGATTTTTGGGTTTAAATGAATATATTTTGAAAGTTTAGGGCCCAAATTGCAAGAAGGAAGGTGTTATCTTGTGGACCTAAATGAATGAATATTGAGTTGTGGGATCTAAATGCTCATTATACAAAATTTGGAGTACCATATTTGCCATTTTACCATTGAAGAAATTGCAAAAGAGGATAGAAACCCAACACGGGTGTGGTGTCGACTCATAATTTATGTGTCGACTCATAATTTATGTGTCGACACCTTACGGTAAGCATCCAAAATCACAGTTTATGCTTCTTATTCTGTGTCGACAGAGTACGGTTAAAGTTTTTAACAACTTGGAAGTGCTCTTGTATTAATATATCAGAAAGGGCTGCTCTTGTAATTTTATGCCTTTCAAGTTAAGATATTTATGAATTTGGAGTACCTCTTGTATTCCATTTTTAATAAATATTACTTTTTGTTGATAAAAAAAAGTGTAGAGAATCATTTTGAAGAGACCAATTCGATTATGTCCAAAGTACAACATGAACGTGCTTAGTAAATTTGATAATCCTGCTTGGACATTCGAACCAATTGATGCTTTTCTAAGGTTACCATCCATTTGTTCTTGCAGCAACAAAATTAGGTAACCTAAAAATCCCTTTTCTGCCACGAAATGGCCAAGAAGTAAACCTATCATGGGTGGAATATTAGGTTAAATTGAGAAACATTAATAGCGTACACATGAACTTATAACTCAACTGTTAAAGTACAAATTCTCTATTTTATGAGGAATGGGTTCAAATTCACTTCCTATTGAAAAATTAATAAAGCACCTGAAATAAGTAAAGTGGGAAAGGAGAAGTGGAGGTAATGGGAAGCCCATTCACGTATTTTCTTCTTGACATAAGAGACACAATTGCGTATGCTCCTCGACATAAGGGATTGATGATCTTTCAACTATTGCAATTTGAAGAGCAAGAAATGCAGTGTAAGTTGTCTGTTTCAACTATTGCGTATGCTCTTGACATAGGCAAAACCTTATTTTTATTCTTTTATCTTATTAGATTTATAAGTTTTAGTTCCTTATATTATACTATAACATTTTTAGCCTTTCATCTATTAGAATTAAAGAAAATAGCCCTCACTTATAATATTTTGTTAATTTTGTTAGTTTTATTAGCTGACTATTAACTCTACTAGGTGATTATTAGCTGACTATTAATTGACAAAAACTTACTTTCAGTTAATAAAATTAACAATCAATTAATAGAATTAACGAAATATTATAAGGTGAGGGTTATTTTTGTTAATTCTAATAGGTGAAAGACTAGAAATATCATAATATAAGGTGAGAGGTTAAAACCTATAAACCTAGTAAGATAAATGGCCAAAAGTGAGTTTTTGCCCTCAACATAAGGGATTGATGATCTTTAAACTATTGCAATTTGAAGAGAAAGAAATGCAATGTAGGTTGCCTGTTTCTTCTGTAGAGCGAAAGGAGCCCAGTCACTACGTACTATTTTATGAGTATGGAAAACCTAGGAAAATCCAAAAATGTTAGTCAAGTACTCAAGCTGAAAAGTCTAATTGTATACTTGAAAAAGTGTTTGAAGTATTCTGAGCTGAAGTTTGGTTTGAAACATTCTCAACTAAAATTTAGTGTTAGAAGCAACATCCGTAATATGTTAGAAGTTATAATAAAAAAAAAAAAAAATTCAAAATCAGGTTTTTTTGTCCTTCCATAATTTATATTCCATAGAAAATTACAGAACTTTGAATATGACTTAACCTCAAACAAAACCCCTTTGTTTCAACAGGACTAGTAAGTGGTATTCTTGAACATTTTTAGTGACTGGTGGCAACTTCCTCAAAAATTATTTGTGGTTGTTGGGAGTTTTCTGCTGCAAGGATTCAAATGAGCCATTTTCTTTCCTTCATCTTTGATTATTTCATTCAAGGAGGGTGGTTTTTTGTTTGCTTCTCCGATATATGGTCTTAGTTAATTTTTTATTATTGTGTCTATCAGTTTATTGTTTTTTCCTTTTTCCTTGGCATGAGAATGTAAACGAGAGTGTTTTTGTAAGGGTTTCAAGTATTATTTCTCTTGTTATTTTCTTATAATACATTCGTTTTCCAATACAAAAAAAAAAAAAAAATTATTTTGGCTCACCATTTCTTGACTTCTTAAATTTGCTTGCTTTGCATGAATGTTAGAGAAAATATATAAATAAAATTTGGTAATTTTCCACAAGAGAAATGAAAGATGATAAGGAAATAATTGAAATGTTTCAACTTTCAACATATAAAATTATATCTATTCATCAAAATGTGTCAGTGTATCTTGAAGTGAATCAGTTAACAGTCCATAGTCAACAGACTGCCTATACCCAATGGTGACAATGTGCAAACCCAAGAATTTCAAGTAAAAAAATGATAGAATATGAGGATAAATAAATTGTTTAAGTTGGTACCAACAAAATTGTTTAATTCAACTTCAAGTAAAAATTTTGTTTTCTTTCTTGCAGCAACTTTTTGAAGCGAGGTCCTGGGGGATTTGTTAATTTCGGGAAGGTAGACATATTACGTCCATTTATAATATTATACAACACAAATAAACGAAGTATAGCTTAATACACAAATGCAGAAGGAATCTAAGAAACCATCCAAAGAAAAAGTCAAGCACAAAAATACCCAAAACAGATAATTAATTACAACAATGCCAGGAGAGTTTCAGCCCTTCTTCCCACTCTTTTCCGTATCCTCTTTTTGCTGTAATTCATAGGCAATGGCAACAATGGTGAACAAAAACGTGGAGAATAGGGTTCTAATTGCCAGCATGCGATAGTAATTGTCAAGATGACTTTTGCCAATGTCATTGCCACTACCAACCCAGCTGCTTGGAGAAGCTGCTGTGAGTATCATACTGAGGAAGTTCCCTACAGTATCTGCAATTCCGTATACTTCTTGTACCTGTAAGTCATTGTTCAGATGGTCATGGAGAAATTCTTCTAACCCTTCTTCCAGTATTCCTTTCATCATTCCCCACAGAAGAAACTGGGACATGCTGGTAGAATTATAATTGGAATCCAATCTGTAAGCAACAAGAGAAGCAACTAAGCAACACAAAGAGGAAAAAAGCATACCAACGCTGATTCTGAGGAGCCTAGCCCACCGCGCTTCTTTCTTTTCATCATGGAACTGCTCGACTAGATAATAGCTCACCTGCCCGGTTATGATGGAGACAATAGCCGGCGAGGAGTAGAAAACGGAATTTTGAATCTTGAAGTCTTCGGTATTGTTCTCTAGATAATCAACTTGTTCCATGAACTAATGAGGGGTTGGATTAAGTGGCAAGCGGCTTGTTCCAGCTTAAGTAAGGTTTCGAGTTCGAGATCTTGTGTACGTAGCAGTTTTTGTTGGGAAGACCCACCCACCATTCTGGTGCGCCACAGCTGGTCGAGTCCGAAGTAGTCGGGGCGAAACCCCGGATACCGGATGGAGAACCAAAAAAAAAAACTTGTTCCATGAAGAAAGAGTCAGCCGTTGCATTAGCTAGATAACATGTAGATGCGAATGTTAGCCATAAAGGTAATAGTTTTCGAACCACTTCGACTGCTTTCTTTAACTCTGGAACTAAAGCATTCGGATTTTGCTTTTCATCCCTTCCATCAATTTTTTCTTCCTCCTTTTTATCATGTTTCTCCATTTCACCAAGGTCGTAACACTGAGCACCCATCCAGAGGAACAAATTATAACTGATTACCGTCACTGCTGTTGAAAATCTTGATGAAAACTTCGGTAGAAAACACTGCTGCAAGCACTGTACCTAAGATTGTCCCTGGAAGTTTAGCAGCAAATAACTTTTTTCTTATACGATTCCTCATTTT